TCTTCATTATTGTCGAATTGTTGTCCTTTCAACATCTCTTGATAATCATACGGAGATAAATCGGGTCTGTAACGGAGATGTTTAACGGTGGTCCAGTGCAATTGAGCCAATAACTCATGGGTTATAGCGGCGGTGTGAGACCTAGGTGCAGACGCAACATTTTTTTCGTGCGCAATTGGCTTCGGACACGTCCTACTACTTATAATATTTTTGTGGACAAGACATAACAAGACAATGACAATCACTGAAAATCACAGTGTAAATTCCCCAGGCATTATATTTTGGTATTTAAAATTTATTTAAAATTTATTATTTTTTTTATTTATCTATTTATATAGAAACTTAGTATGTGTGTGTCATAGAATGATTGAGAAACTATATCTAGAAAACTAGTTACAGCTATAAAATTTGTATTTTAGATTTTTCAGGTTGTATCGATTCGAGATAACATAGATAAAATTATATTTCTCTTTCTATTTGTATTTAACAGTATTTTATATATTTAATATATGAGAGAGGTTACTAAGCCTGGCCACCAGCAATAGGACTGACCAGATCATCTATCTACACTTGCAACGGCACCCGAGCTGCACCGTGGATGACGCGCTCGGTTCTAAAACAGACTGTATCTTGAAAACTAAAAGTCTGTCTATCTTGATCCTGGGCTTGTTTTAAAGGGGAAGATTTCTATTTTTTTTAAAGATTTTTTCAAAAAAAATCGGAAATGTCCAAATTTGAGAAAAAACGATTTTTATTTTGTTCTTTGAAAATTTTAAATAAATTTTGACTTTTTTAAAAAACTGATTTTATAAGATTAAAGGGCGTAAAAAGATCTTTAGAAACCACTACTTGTTTTTTTAAAATCGGAGTAGTCTACTGGAACTTATCGGCGTTTGAAGTTAGACGCGATAGCCCAAATAATAAAAATTCCAACCTCTGTTAATAGAGATCCCGTCGGTCGCAGGTCAAAAGGTTTAGGCAACGATTTTACTTTTGATAGGATTACAATTTGTGCAAATTTTAGCATGATCGGAAAACTGTGAAAATTTAAGTGGATCACTTCATAAATAATGCCCCATTCACATTTCTTTTCTTTTCTACAAGAGACAACATGAAGTGTATGTCACTTTAAAAAGTAATAGCGTGAAAAGTTGAAAACGTATACAGAACTGTACATTTTTAGATTTTGTTTTGCATTCAATAGTGGACCTTGTTTTATGTACATTATCTATGCAAAATATTATATTTTTCAAACTCTTTTTATGTCTAAAGCATTGCTTTAATTATTTATATTTATTTATAACTTAATGTAATAAACAATTAACAGCTAAAATCTTTTGAATGTTAAGCGTCGTCTACAATAGAGATTTTAAGCCTTAAGCCTTAAGAAATTGACCAATCACAGTCAAGTATGAGGAGAATACTCGACTGTGATTAGTCAATTTCTGAAGGCTTAGGGCTTAAAATCTTATTGTAGACACCGCTTTACTCAAGGCTACAATTATATATTTTAAGATTATTGAAATTGATGTGATCGCTCTTAATATTCAATTTTGCCATAAATTGTAAAAGAAAAATAATTAACTAATAGGGAAATAAATGCTTGAAGAAAACTTTTTTAATTATATAATGTCATAGAAAATTACACTGATTAATAATCAGTCGATCTTTACTAAAAATTTAAAAATTTTTGCGCTTTAAATTTGTGAATAAATTTTTGTACAGGTTAAACACAATTCAAACTAAACCTTGACTCGTCGTAAGTCCATTCCGTATCGTTTAGACGGACATCGTACCTCAGATTGATAGTGTTTTATCAAAAGTTGATATTTCAGTCTCACATCAATGCATTTTACGCAACAAAATTATATACGTTGTTTACAACAAAAATGTTTACAATACGAGATTCAGATTGAGAAGAACTTAAACGCTCATTTGTGAAGATTGGTTCGTAAAATTTGATAGCTGGAGATTCAAAGTTCAGTGTAATAATAGATGTATTAAATCTCACCTTTTCATTCTTCTTTTGCTGCATGTCGAATTCCTTCAAATTAACGCTATTCATAATCTTGATTGTGAATGATTGAAAATGTTTGATTTGATTGCGAAATAATTGTCGTCACAACTATAAGAGAGATTTCTAACAGTTTTTTTTTTATTTGAACGGATATCCACAGTCTATTAGTAGGAGAAGAGCCCACGTGAAACAAAGTTTATAAGATAGATAAAATGTCACACAATTGGCTATCTAAAATAAAATTTTTGAAAGTCTGAAAATTTTTCTAACCGATTATGTGACATTGTGTCTCTTGCTGGAAAGTATAATAGTCATAAAAAGATAAGAAAAGGGTAATGAAGGACTGTTGTGAGAAGGAAACCTCATCAAACGAATTCTTGTGCATACACATGCATTTTTCTATCATAAAATGCGCTTGCTTTAAACGCGATAAATTACGAATAAGTAGAAAGGGGGCATACAAGGAAAGAATTAATATGTCTTAAGATAAAGAGAAATTTAAAATGTAGAGTATTTATAAAAAGAAATTTAAATAAACTGTTTTTAATAATATCGACTATTTTTAAAATAGTTACAAAAAATATATATTTTTTTAAATAAAATATGGTATTAATAAATTTAAAAAATTACTTGCAACAATATCAATAATAAATACCTACATTAATAATAAGTCATAATACAATATTAAGTTTTATATTTAATACATATTCTTAATTATTACACTGACATAATTAATTAATATCTGATATATTAAATTGATATATATTTTTTAATATTGAAAAGAAAATAGCAATTTAAGTATGCTTATTTAATATTATATATGTATATATATTTATGTGTATATTATATATACTTATTATACATATGTGTATGTATAATAAGCATTATACATATTAATGTCTTATTTAATATTAAAACTGCATTACAAAAAAGCCAATGTAATATTAAAAATATTCATAATATTCACAATATAATACAAAATAATTCAAAAATTATTAAAATCTATATGAAAGTAGTAAACAATCAGTTATAAGTTTATAAAATATTATCTTAAACATTATTAATAGTATGTTCTTGATTAAGTAATTTGGCGCGTTGTAGATCTTCAAGTTTTTAACCAAGATTGAAAATATTTTATCTGTCTGTCGATCTCCAACGAGCGTGCTACTATCTTGCGTTCAACAGCGGAAATTGATAATTCCGTCTCTACAAATTCGTCTTTTACAAATTTATGTATCTGAAATAGATTATTTTAACAATCAGAATAATTTTATAATTAATAATTAGTAATTATTGCATTATCGCAGAGGCAAATTGTCATATTATCATAATTATAGAAAAAGATACGTAGAAGATTGTACATATGTGGCATATTCAATGATCAATTAATTTCATAATAACAACTTAATATATATATATAAGTATAGAATTTTGAGTCATAAAATTTACCTCGTCCAACTGTTCTTTAGAATATACATTGTTAATTATAACGGTTAATATCGCAATATCACTGACTTGTCTATAAGAACTAAAACAGTGTACTTTTGTAAATAAATGCGTACAACAAACTTTTATTTTTGTGAGCAGTATATCTTTATAAATTAAATGTCATTACCTGCGTTTTAGTTTTATGAAATTCTTTAATATATCTTTAAGCATGTGCTGAGTATTTCTTGCAAGAGTAGAAAGAAAAATATTAGCAGTTAAAGCATCAGTACGTTCTTTTGCTCGTTCTACTTGTTCAGAATCAAATTCACGTAATTTATATTCATATATTGGAACAACTTTTGGTAATGTTTTCTCTAAATAGTGGATTATAATTTCAGGTTTTTGAGAATAAGTTAAGCATTCCAAAATGGTATGATCAAAATTTTTTTCCTTATAGAGTTTAATAAAGAGTTTATCAATAAGTTTATTCCTTGTATCAAGATCTGCTGTTTTTATACCGTTACAGTATATCCACTTCTTCCATCCAGGCAAAATTCTACAAAAGACAGTCCAGAAAGAAAGTAAAACTCTTTTAACAAAGCAAATAGTGTCTTCAATGTTTGATAAATAATTTTTGTTAAATTTCAAAAATGATTTGTTGCACATATGCACACTATGAACAATATGCCTAAGAAAACAATGATTATAAAAAATTACTTATTCTGTTCAGGATTTTTCAAATGCCGTTGCAATTGATTTTTGACTATTACTTTGCATAAGATACTATTGATAATACAGCTCCACTTTGCGAGTTCTTGCTTTAAACATATAATATGATCGTCGTCGGGCATCGGAATATTAGCGGAGAATAAATGCAATTTCATATATCCCAGCGAAATTACTATTTCCTAAAATTTGATAAGAAATATAGTATTTTTATTTAGTTTATTTTTTCATTATTTATGAGGACAGACATAATGTATATATATGTGCAAAATATACATATTTTTATTAGACAATTTTATTTTAATAGATATGTAATCTTAGTTATATACATCTACACACTAGTACAATATTCAAATTTATAGATCTCTTATTCAAACAATTCTGTACATATTTTATATCATCTAAACATATATATTCTTAATATATATGTATATATTGATGTATATTTCAGTCTATTAACATATATTAATGTGTCGATCGATGTATGCGACAAATTATTTTCTTATTTAAAAACTGTTGTATATCTGATATCGATTGTAAAAATTCGGAATTTGTAAAATTTCAATTTTTATAATATAAGCATTTATAAATGAATTATTATGTGCTATGTAAATTGTAACAAACTTATTTTAAAATTAAAGCTTAGTTTTTGCAAAACGTTTGCAAACTTTTTATGCGCCGCAAATATTTTCTAACAGAAGAAAGTTAATATGATAAATATTGTTATTGTATTTTATAATTTTCAAAAATTAAGTATAAATTATATCATTGACTTATAATACAAATTTTATGCAGATAGTATTATAAGAAAATAACAATATATACCTACTATATATATTTATTATTTAAATAATTATTTCACAATTATGATAAGAAATCGCTGTATTATTGTATATGCATTTTTTTGCTTAACAGATAATTTATTAATAAAATTTATTTTTACGATTACCTTGACTTTTGTATTGAATTCATCAAATTCAAAGAATGCAAAGATATTTGATATAAATTCAAAAAATTTGAGCATAGGATACCTTGCGATATAATCTGTTTCTTTTGACAAATAATTAGCGAGTTGCCAAAATATGGTAAAATTAAGTTTCTTCTCTACCACAAAATAAAATGCATCATCGATGATTTGTGCTCGATTGAGAACATGTATATTCCTATATTCTTCAGAATTCAAGTATTGCGCAATTTTTTGCCAATTATCGGTATCATAATTGACGCGATAATATCCTGTTATATAATAAATTGCTTTTATCGATTATTAGATTCTTTTAATTGTATGAATTAAAAGATATTTCGAAATTTCTGCATTTTTTCTGTTATTTAACGTAAAATCTGTATTAAAAATTGCGCGTATTATAATAAGAGATAAAAATTTCATGTATTTTACAGTTGATAAAACTTCAATTTTTTGTATGGTATTCTTGTAATATTTTTTTTTATATATATATTATATCATTATCTTCAATATTTTGGTTTTTATTATTATTAATTATAAAAACATGTGCATGCTACATACTCGTATAATATTTATACTCGTATAATACGTATAATATAATACTTACACTCGTATAATATGTATATTGATAATTGAATAACTTACAAAAAATAAGATATACTAGAAATTTTATGTAAGCTTAAATTGATTTTGACCATAAATATAATGTCCAAATTATATCCACACAAAGTGCATTTAATTTTAGAAATTCAAACATTATACACTATAAAGATAATAAAAATATAAGTTTATGATAGTTTATTTTCGATATTTACCAGTTTGCTGTATGTTGAAAATGATCCATTGATCTTTTTTAAGAGAGAATTCAAATTTGGAATATGATGGTGTTAACCAAACATCTGACCACGTTACGTTAAAATTGAGATTCGACTCCGTAGTATAAGTCAAAGGTATGTAATATTGCTTCTCATCCAACTCGTCGTGAAATTGTATCGATGCTATTACAACATCGCGAGAATAATTTCTCATCACCTCCAACACAGGAAAACATCTCTGCATAGCCCACGAATCTACCATTCTTTTTACGTCAAACTGATACTTGGGATTTAATGCATTCATGACAGTTTGCATAGCGGTCCATAAATGATCGGAAGTAGTTGCTTTAGGCTTAGTAAATCTATAAGATTTAACATTGTAGCAGTATAAACACTGTATATAATTAATCGGTGTGATAAAAAAGAAAAATTATGACAAATGAAATAATTTATGTACTTTATTTATGTATTTTAATTTATAATATAATTTCCACAAACATAGAAAATTTTAAACTTTAATTATAGATATATACATGTATATATATTTAATATAACATATAACAAAATATTTATGTATACATATATTTATGATGACTGGCAATGAGAATGTTTTGTCAAGACAGTACATAGTGGTTTTATATTACAAAAATTACAGCCTTATACTAACTACATGCATTTCTCAAAAAATTATTCAATTTGAATTGTTTGTAATTAAACTAATGTAGTTGAGAAATTTCAATTTGTATCATGTTTGTTAGGAAAAATTCGAGTTGAAATTCATTAAGAAATCCATAAATAAGGAGTAATATTGTAAATCTGAGATACATTATATATCTAAGTTCTTCAATTAATAAAACTAGAAATATGTTGTCAAACTTATATGTTTTAATATCTCGCTTTTATGATATGTACAATTAATATGTATAATTTATATCACAATATATTATACTCACTGATCGTTCAAATACCTGTCGATACCTATTGAAAATACATCAGGCGGCAAAGTTCGTTCTAACATGCGCCATATAATGGATCCTACAATGTTTGAAAGAAAAAAATAATTTAAATTAATAATAGAAATGTTCACAGAAAAATAAAAATAAAAACATACAAATGCTTAAGAAGCAAGTGCAGAAGTATGTGCATATATTTGAAGAAATACAAATTTCGGGAGTTTTAAGACTAAAATAATACTAAACGTTTCGGTCCTCATCTGGATTCTCTTCAATAATTACAAGATGAGTGTGTCAAACAGTATAATTATTTACAAAAATAATTTAATATAAAAAATAATTTAATTTAAAATGTTTTTACTGCTTCTTATCATTTTAAAAAAAGGCAGCAGTTTATTGCTTGCTACAATATTACAAAACCGTTTCCTCGTACTCTACATCCTTGGAGTATTTTTTCTCATAAGTATTGCCTCCTAATAACGAAGATGTATATATATTTTCTCTTTAGCTACCAACTTGTATATACACAGACTATTATATACGCGAAATTTGGTGCCATAAAAAAAAGAAAAAATACATCGCCAGTAATCACAATAATAATCCCTTCCAAAAATTTGTAAGCTTTTATTACTATATATGATTGGTTGCAATCATATAAAGGAATACCAGATATTGCACACTTAGTCTTTCAAAAACGGAAGTTTCTTTAAATTTCTTCTGGAATAACTGTTTTTTAATAACCAGAATATTCATGCACAAACCGCATATGATATGAAATATTTTTTAAAGCAACCAGCACACGAATAAAAATCGCCTCTGGGATAAAATATTTTTTTAATAACCAGAGCGCACATGCAAACCGCTTCTGAAATAAAATATTTTTTAAACCAACCAGCACACGAATAAAAATCGCCTCTGGGACAAAATGTTATTTTTTTAATAACCAGAGCACACATTCAAATCGCATCTAGTGTGAAATATTTCTTAAAACAACCAGCTCACGATTAAAAATCGCCTCTGGAATAAAATGTTATTTTTTTAATAACCAGAGCGCACATGCAAACCGCTTCTGAAATAAAATATTTTTTAAACCAACCAGCACACGAATAAAAATCGCCTCTGGGACAAAATGTTATTGAGTTATTATTGAGTAAAGTCTGATCAATCAGCGCCGACTTTTAGCCGGGCTCACTGACGTGCGACCTGGGGATGTACTGACAAATGACAGTGTTTAAAAGAAACGTATGGCACAAGATGCTTTGTTTATTGAACGGTTCGTTCTTATCACCAACTGACGATCGTTACCGCGACGTCGCGGAAGAAAGGAATCGTGGAGTCGCCAGGACGTAACAGTTCTGTTAAATTAGATTCTTTACCACAACCTCCATATGAACTTTATGAATTATTTACTGGAAATCATCCAAAATCAAAACATTTTTATAATCGTATTCGTGGTTACAATAATACATTTTCATTCGCCTCCTTTAATGCAAACTTATCAGACTTTAGTGCACAAAGACGTGGACCTTATTGTTTTAAAATTCAAAGACAAATTTATTATCAAATTAATACTGCATTGTATCCCTCACTTAACGAAATGCCAAGTTATGATCAACTTTTTATCGTGGATAATAATGAAGCGACAGAGTGTCGGTTACATCGAAATTCGAATCTTGATGAAGAAATTTTATATTTAATAGATAATATTATGCGTACGAATAATATTTTTGCACGATCTTATCGAATGATGCATGAAGAAATTCAAATGCAACAGCAAATAACTGAAAATAATAGTATACGTGAATTACAATTGGGATTTTTAACAAAAAAGGACATCGATCGTGATCGATACAATGTGCAAAGAGTAAATGATGTTGCAGCTGTTTTTTCTACTACGGCAGATGGTGAAATTCCGGAAACTTATGTAACAATTTATAATAAAAGTGATAAAACATTACAACAAGTCAGTACGATGAATCCAAATGTAGAACCATCGATTTATTCATTATATTATCCATACGGAAATCAAGGTTGGCATGATAATTTACAACGCAGAAATAGTATAAACGAGTAAGTAGAGCTGCATACGTAAAATATCGAATAGCTATACGTGATAATTTTAATATTTTCGTCATGGGAAGACGATTATTTCAGCAATGGCTTGTAGATAGTTATATAAAAATTGAAAAAGACCGAATTAATTATTGTAAACAGAATCAAAAACAATTACGAGCTGAGACTTATCAAGGATTAATTGATTATTTAGCAAACGCCGCCAATAATAACGATGCTCATATTGGAAAAATGATTATACTTCCATCGACATTTGTGGGTTCACCGCGTAATATGTTGCAACATTATCAAGATGCGATGGCTATTGTTCGGAAATATGGAAAACCAGATATTTTTGTTACTATGATTTGTAATCCAAATTGGCGCGAAATTAAAGAGAATTTACTTCCAAATCAACAACCTGCAGATAGGCCAGATATATGTGCTCGCGTATTTAATATAAAAAAGGATTATTTAATCGATGTTATCGTCAGACAAAAATTTTTTGGTGAGGTTTTGGCATACGTTTATGTAATAGAATTTCAAAAACGCCATATGTGCGTTACATAAAACTTCAAAACCAGAAATCAAAACATCAATGCCATGTTGCTGTTTGTGTTCTGAACATGTAGAAAATAATCGTATCTTTGATATTACAAAGGACAATCACGCAATATTTAATCCTTTACAGAAGATTCGCAAGATTTTTAATGAGGGTGTAAGTTTAAATTTTCATCTTTTTTATTTTTGCATCACAAATAAATAATATAGCTGTTATCTATATTAAAATTGAATTTGAATTAAGTAATTAATAAATTTCATAATTTATTCTGTTTCTTTTCGCAGTTTAAGGATGACAGTGATTCTAAACTGATATGTCTGCCGTGTCGATATAATTTGGATGTTTTGTATGATTTGAAAAGAATATATCAGGAAGCAGTCATCCATTTGAAAGCCTTGATTAATGAAGAGATAGACTATTCAAATTTTTCAAAGGTATATACTTTGTACAATTTTATTATTTTTATCTTGATCAAATATTTTTTTTAAACTTGTATTACGAGATTGCATTTTTTTTTAATTGCAGGTATATACAGATGTTGTCAATCGCAAAACGACTGTTACTACATTTCCAGATATTACATTTTATGATCTAATAAATTCTGATAGCGAAAATAGTGAAAATATGGTACATAATAAGCAGCGCGCCAAAAACCACAGAGGGCGACCCAGTGCACAAACTAAATCACAAAACGACGTGAAAGCAAATGCTCGAAAATGCGACAAATGTCATAATATTGTCCCGAATGGTACCGATATGTACAGATTTCATCGCACACGTCTAACGGTATGCAGAAACTGTTAGATAACGATGGATCCAAATAAAGACAAATTGAAACGGCGATCACAACAGGTAGAATCCAATTTGGCAGAGACAAAACTATGCGCAGTCTTTTTGACGGATGTGCTGGATAAAAAATTGCACAAGAGCAAGAAAGAACATAAGATTGAAAAAAATAAAGATAATAGAGCGTACATTCTGTCAGAAGACAGTTCATTAGAAGACAGATTGTCTGAATTGTCGGTGAATAATGCTGTTAACAATAACATAAAACGAGGAAAGAAACGGCATATCGACGCTGAGAAGAACGAAGATGTTGAGAGCACACCGACAAAAGTAACAAGATTGGATACAAAACGTGCAAATGCAAGTGAAACAAAGGTATCGTCTGATATGGAGCAGCAGTCTACTACTTATTCTACTACTACTACTTTGACACGTCGAGGACGTAAAAGAACAAAAACTGCTATTGATCGGAGTTCGGACTCTGATGTTTCTTCTCCATTGAAATCAAAAAAGAAATTGGATGATTGCGCGAAGCCTTTGTCACCTTCTTCGAGTAAGACAGATAGAAAGAAATTGAGGACTATTCTTCAAGGGGTAACTGCGAATGTACATTCACAATCTACTGATGAGTCACCCACCGAAGATACAAATTTGGAAACGACGAAAAACACTCCGAATGCGCATATAAACAAGGAAAAGACTACTCACAAAAGGACGAGATCGTCTTCTATCTCTAATACGGAAATTACATCATTGGCGGAGTTTAAAAGTCCGAAATCTATTGCATTGTCAGAAGTTAAGAAAAATTATTATACGTGTGACACGTACGGCAAGAAATTTGACACCAAGTTAGCAAACGTGGAACACAGTCTAACACATCTCATGCAAGCTTCTTTAAAATTGGAAAGGGTAACTATTTCAAGCATTAAGGAGAAACAAGACTTAAAAATTGATTCAGAAGAAGATAAAGTCTTCAAAAACGTAAAGATCTGTTTAACCAAAACTGTATCAATTGATAAACATACCAACGATCCGTCTGAAGAGATCGCTATTAATATCGTAGATACAGATGAGGAAGAAATCTTTTCTTCATCGAGAGAACAAAGTGCAAAGAAGAAAGAAGCAGAGAAAGAAGCGAGCAGCGAACGCTATAATGTGACTGACAAACTGAACGCAGAAAGCAAATTGTATGTAGAAGAATCTGCGAAAATTCAATGTGATGAGAATATGACAGAAGAATCCGAACAATGTGTAGAATCGATGGCTGTGCCGAATGAAACAGAGACATCTATTGAAATAGAACAGGGCAAAGATACAAAAGAAATAAATACAAAGAATAATAATATTAGGGAAGAAGATACAAAGACTAAAGATAGAAAGGCATCAATGGATAGAGACATTAACACATCGATAGATAAAGACACAAATGTACAGAAAGATGCTATAGTGAAGGACATGTCTTCTTCTACGTCCAAATTTTTATATTGTTATAACTTGTGCACAAACGTTGCTGTAAATGAAAATAAAGATGTATCTGCAGAAAATGATACAAAAATGTCTACTAAAGAAAAAGAAAAGTCTAATAATGAGGCTAATAATGACAAAGAACATCTTCATGAAGAAATGACACAAGATAGCAATGCAACTAGACCATTGGTTTCATCAATTAATAACACAACCAAGGATGACGATAATAAAAATCATAGTGAAAGCTGCAAAAGTGATTTAAAAATTAGTTGCAAAGATAATGAAAGTGAGATAATAAAGGACATAGAAATGAGGCAGTGCGAGTTAACGAATAAATCTCAGAAGGAAAATATAGATGAATCGGAGGAAAATGAAAAAATTGTGTTGGACATCACTGATGAGACAGAAACATTAAAAGATCAAATAGATTTAAACGATACAGTAATCGTGGATGAAGACAAAGTCGAGGCCTCAGGAAAGCAGCAAGATACAGCCAGTGACCAGAATATGGAAACCGAAGTGATTATAGATGACAAGCCTAATAATGCAACAGATACCGTTAAATCGGATCTTTTGAATGGTGAAAAACTTAATCAGGCGGAAGATGGCGATGAAAACGAGAACGATGTTGCAATAATTCTTGCAGATAGTAATAACGATATAGTACAATATGCAAAAGTCGCAGAAGAAACAATTACAATAGACAGCTCAAAGGAGAAGGATAAATTAGAGGAGACCATAAAGAATCTCGAAGACTTGATCGAGAATAATACAACGAATAACAAGTGTGAAGAGCGGGAAAACTCGAATCATACCTTGAATGATAGCTCCATGGATGCAGCTAACATGATACTGAAAGAAATATTTGATCTTGCAGCCGCCGAAGTTAAAAAACGAGAGGCCATTAATAACACAAAAGATTTGCAAGATACTGAAATAGAGACTCTGAAGAATATAATGCGCGAGATACGCAATAGCGCCGATATGCCATCTTTGGACCCGATCAGCATTATGGATATAGATGATGACAATGATATCACATTAAACTATTTGTGTTATATTGTTATTATCTATTTACACGCAATCAGCATGTACATTCTGTTGTACATGTACATGATTATGCGAGTGATTGATTGTGTGTACAATGTATTTCATATCTGTAGATTCAAAAAATTGGATCTCTTTTGATAAATGTATACTCTGTCACAAACATTTTCTTTTGTATGCCGAGTTTTCAAAAAATATGATTTATACTTCTGTTTCTTTTTTTATATAGAGAAAGAAACATATGGTCTATAAATAATAATAGTTATTAAATTGCAGAAATTTCAATAAAATTGCAGATTATAGGATTTTATTATCAAATGTTAAATCTTATTATTTAAGAATATATATACAGGGTGTCCCATAATTCGCGGATCACCCGCCATGTGCAGGTAGAGCACATGAAACCGAGAAGAAAAGTCCTTTACCATTTTGCGATTTTCGTGCTAGGTGCGCGGCGAAGGGGTGGGAGGGGCGCTGTATACGGCTACGTACGAGCGAACGCTGAAGCCACGCATCTCGAACTATTCTCTCTCTCTCTCTCTCTCTCTCTCTCTCTCTCTCTCTCTCTCTCTCTCTCTCTCTCTCTCTCTTAAATATCCAGTTTTTCATTGTCAGACTATGTATAAATCTTGATTTTTACAAATTTTTGTTTGTTAATAACTTTTTAATAAGCAACGAGCGACGATTAAATTAGAAGAAAAAGTTACTCAGAATTATGACCTTGATAACATATGTCAAGGTCAAGGTCATTGGGGCTGGGTCACCTATTCGCTATATTTACTCATGCTAAAATTATTGTGATGATATAATCTACTATATCTATATAGTTTCAAAATTTTCAAATTCTATATTTCTGCAACAATTGGAAATTATTTTATTAGCAACAGTCATACCACGTTGTAAAGCACCAGTTCTCGTCCCAGTTCTCGTCGAGCTCTCGACCTGAGCGGTATAAAGCGAAGAGTGATCTATAGATTACGATTAACTAATTGATTAAATATATTCAAATCAAACACAAGTATATCAAATAATAAACCCAAGTTAGTGAACATTGAGGAAATAAAGAAAATTACCGCAATTGGCCTAAAAGGAAAAGGCAACAGGGACAAACAAACAACTAACAAAAGGAAATAAGAACGTAGACATCATGGACGAAAATATCTTCCCCAGGCTCAGAAGAGAAACATTACCTAAGACGGAAATAATCAACTACTGGACACAGCCAAACAGGATAAAACAAAAACAAGCAGCAACAACACAGGAAGCAGCTGATACCAGCAACCAAATTTAGATAGAGCCCAATATCACGCATTCACACTAAAAGAACAGAAAACAAAGGCATTCGTCATAAAAGGCTCGCCTAAAAACTTAGATATTGAAGACATCAAGAGGGAACTGGAAGAATTCAATTAATATGATAGTACAATAATCTGTCATGTAATTTAAATAAGACCCTTATTTTGTTATATGTATATAAACAATGTAAATAAAGCTCAATAAAAAGTAAAAGTAAAGTGAAGTTCTCGTCCGATCACTGAAGTTAAGCAAGGTTGGGCATGGTTAGTACTTAGATGGGTGGGTGACCGCTTGGGAACACCATGTACCGTTGGCACTATTTCTTTTTTTTGCTAATTTAAATCTTATTATTATCGATATTTTTTAAAAATACAAGCTATTGTGATAAGCAAAATCTATTTTATTTATAGTTATTTAAAAATTCTCAAACAACGACGCGTTAGCATCGCGACCTTACTTGTGTACAAGGGCCGCAGTGTTACCAAGTAGCTTATCTGGAATTTTAAGTTAATAAAGTTTCGAATAAGATATTTCAAGAACTAAAACCGTAATCAAAAATTTAAATTTTTCTAATGTAATGTGGATACACTTTTAATTGCGACCAGGAACCATATTCTTGAAAAATATCGCTTACGATATTTGTCATTGCGCAGTTAAAACGTATCGGAAAATAACTGCGCAATGATAAATATTGTATGCGATATTTTTCAAGAATATGGTCCCAGTTCGACTAAGATTGGTACAGTCAATCTTGAAAAATAATAATTGCATATCAAAATTGTGACAATTTTTGTTCTCATTTTTCTTCAAGTTCAGATTCAAATTCACGTACGCACATTTGCACGCAAAGCGAATATGTCTCTCAAGACGAATTTACACCGCTCATGATTATTTGCTTGAGTGTGCATATATGCCTGAAGAAACTAACAATAAGTTATATTTTGTATATGTGAGTGCAATTACGTATAAGATAATTACGTTAAGATAATTAAATTACAAGAGTATCGCAGAATGCAATAAGAGGAAAAGTGATTAGATAAAGTGATAAAGTGACAAAATGATAAAATTTTTGGAAAACACTATCTGAAAGCCATGAAACTCAAACTGAATAAGCAGTTTTCTCAATAATAAAACATAAAATTGTTTATATATATAATTCTATGATTTTAAAGAAAATTATATAATGTATCTATTTAATTTATATTAACTATCTGTTTAATTTATATTTATATTTCTTTTATTTTCTACAAGAGACGACATGAAGTATGTATCACTTTAAGAAGTAATTGCATGAAAAGTCGAAAAGGTATACAGAACTGTACATTTTTAGATTTTGTTTTGCATCCAATGGATTTTGCTTTGTGAAAATTATCAAAAATTGTATACAAAATTGTATATTTTATAACCTCTTTCTACGTCTAAAAAATCTGAAAAAAACTTTGATTATTTATGTTTATTTATAATAGCATATTTGTTATAAACAATTAACAATTAAAATCTTTACGTTACTCAAGGCTATAATTACAATTTTTCAATGTCATTGAAATCGATAAGATTTGGTGCCCAATTCGGTTTCTTTTATCATAACTTCGATTCCTGGATCGCGGAACCGATATTCAAGCCACGCACCGAAGGTATGCCATGGGCAACGAAGAACCGTCCGCTGATCAAATATAATTATTAATTATTAGAAAAAAATTACAGTCACAGTATATTACGTATAAACAACATAAATATAAAAAAAAATAGTGTACGTATCTTTCATACAACATAATGATATATACAATATACATACGTATATAATATGCATACCTTTCTCTATTCGTCTTTCCCTCTTCCTCTCTCTCCCTTTTTCATCTTCTTTAATTTAATTTTTTATAATAAATTGTCACACTGTCAAACGATAAATTGTCAAACTATTAAACGACACGAGTGAAGCAAATCACACGAACAAGTGAAGCAAGCGCACGAATGAGACAACCAATCAACATCGCGAGACAACAATGTCAATAACATGTCTTTTTTAGAGAGGGATTTAATGCTTGAGTGAAGAGCCATTGGGCGCGTTCGGCAGAGAAAGCGCTCAGTTATTGTCTTGTCAACACTCGACGTTGATTTGTTGGTTCTAAAAGTAAGTGCCAATCACGTTCGATTGCTACTGAGCGGTTTTCTCTGCTGAACGCGCCCATTATATTTTTAAGAATATCACTAAAAGGGAAAATATATTGATACGCAGTACCAAATAACATATAAATTAATATTTGTACGTGTCAAATGCAATACATCAAACTTTGCACTTTTTTTCCCTCCTGGGTTATATATTTGTACAATTTCAATATAATAATGGAAATCTATTCATATTTTATTATTGCTCTATTAGGCCTTTTTAATTAATTGTATCACACCAACATCTCCAGCTAATAATACAGTGTCGCCTAAATAGAGGAATTCGCATTAATTGAGGTTGATATATTATAAATAATGATAATAATAATAATAATAATATTCTAAGATTATGTATAGATTGTCTTATATCATGACATAGAAATATGTACAAACCTGTCTGAAAAACTTGCGTTGCGCTTTTAGCGCCAACAATACAAGGAAGACCGTATTCTCTCGCCACAACGGCGCCATGGCTTATAAGACCGCCCAATTCTGTCACGATTCCACCTAATAATGGAAAATACGGACTCCAACCAATGTCGGTGCAATGTGTGATCAAAATATCTCCATGTTGTATATTTGTCGCTTCGGATAGATCGGTTATCACGCACGCTCTGCCTAGTACGGAACCGTCACAAATTGAAGTACCTTCAATCTTTGTACATCCTTCATAAAATGAGGTGTCGAGTGTTCTCTGCAGTGGGACATTGTACACATTATAATCTTAAAAATATTAATAATAAAGATGTATGCAAGAAAATGATTAGCAAATTATTCGATCTAGATAATTCATACAATAGAAACAATTACAACCTGTACTGGTATAGGCATGCCAATGCTGAATTCTGGATATTCAAATTTCGCTACTTGCTGATAAACCTTTTTTCTGCGTAGTGCTCTGAAAAATTTCAAATAAAATTGTGCAATAACGACGAGTATTACGATACGGCATAATACGATACTCCAAGAATATAATAATAAATAACTAATCAAATTTAGACTCACTTTCGCACGAGTAACGAGTTGTGCTTGTTCAAGAGTTGCCCGATTTCTTGGTTCGTAAAAAAAAAAATGAGTTTTTCATCAGGTATGTAACTCTCTGCAACCATCAAGACACCGAGATGTTTGTAAGCTAATCTCAATGTATGCACAGCAGATACAAGTATGTTTTTTGTCATTTCTCTGCGTGCGACAGCTTTTCGACAAAGAGGTATTACTTGTTGCAGAAGCCATTTGTTAAACGATGACATGGGCGTCTTTAAAGACGCGATAGTTTCCGGTACATTAAGCGTTTTGCTCACATAATTCTTTTCGAGGGACATTACTTGTGTCTGAAAACAGTGTATGAAATATATTATATATATACACAAACTTTATTGAAATATTTTTTAATTATTTCTCGATGTGATATTTCTGTAATACCTCACATACCTGAATTGTACTAATGATACTATCAGATTTGAATATCCAAGGTTCCGCGAACAAATCTAATTCGTGAACACATCTGTGACCATGCGTGTCAAAGAAGGTACGCAGTTTTTCCGCGGCCGGCGGACAATTCGATTTCAACCAATCTATAGCTTTCGCGGGTTCGACTTTACTAAACTCTTCCGCCTTGCCGTTTTTTCTGATACATGTCGCTATTTTGCTCAGGGCTATTGGTACTTCGGCGCTGATAACATTGGAACATGAACTCAGCAAAACAGCGATATCCGCAAGATGATCGGATGTAAAATTGTCGCTACCCTTTGTTAGAAACGACATAGCTATCATCTGGTAAAAGATGTTCATCATGGATGCTACCCTGTGGCACTGTACTATCTGAAGTATGTAAATGTTTTATAATGACGCGTATAATTTAAACATTAACAAAGTGTATTAAACTCGACATATTTTTCTCGAAATTTAAATAAAGATATTTTTTTTAACTTGATGCGATAACTTACTCGGAGGAGTTCTTTGTATTTCTTATTTATGACACTGTACAGATTACGAGGTGTATTAAATTCATTAGCGTTCAAAATACATTTGTTAAATACGACGGTTGCTGCTTTTATTATCGCGTCACCCATCCACACTGTTTTAAACATATCATACATCAAATACATTTTCCGCCATCTGCTTGCGACACCGTACTTTTCAACTGCGAACTGATGTATTTCGGGCGTTGTTACTACGCGCCCGCATGTAGCTAGATCTGCCATTTTATTATATATTGTTATCTCTTTGTCAACATCTCGCAAAACAATCTTTAAAAAAAAAGGTAGAAAGTTATCGGACAGTTTACTCATCCTGTAAATGCTGTAGATGCAAATACTTACATTGAAGTAATTTATCGCGCATCTCATACCGACCATATGAAGATATGTGCAATCAGGATTGTATTCAACGCCACTCGACAAGTTCAATATTTTTACAATGGTAGAGCTCGACAAAGGACTAATGGGATGCGGAAGCACTTCCTCGACGTTAGCAAAAGTTATAAGATCGACGTCGGGAGGAACCTCTGAGTCTAACTCGTGCATTAGTTCAAAGTCTGTCCATGCGTTAATGGTAGTGATGGGCCGTGCCTGCAAAAGAAAAATCCGATCGCCGACAACTGCCCATTCCACATCTCGGGCGGATCCAAAAAGTGTTTCCAAATGCAATCCTATTTTAGCTAATCGCAGAGCGGTCGCGTCAGATATTGATATCTTCCTAGTTTCCTGTTTATTCAAAGTGCATCTAATCACAACATCATCCTTCAGCGATATCTTCTCTTCTTTACTCCCTATCACCAAAGAGTCTATAGTTAGAGTGTTATTCAACTTCCTATGAATCGTTATAGTATCAGGCTCAACTGTTCCTGATACTACAGTCTGTAAGAAATATTAGGACATTTCATGTTATTTAAGCAAGAAGTGAATTATAAATCCAAAATAAATAGTCAACACGAGTATTCCAACTATACATTTCGTTCGATTCAGTAGATGAATGTTAAAATACTTTTGCAATGTGAATAGTAGTACATACATATATACATACATATATGTATATATGAATAATAGTATATATACATGTATATATATGCGTGCGTGCGTGCGTGTGTATGTATGTGTGTGTGCGCGCGTGTGTGTATACATATTATAAATACTACATGAAGAGTGAGATATACATCCATATTGCATTTTTGATATCATTTGAACGTACTTCTCCCAAGCCATAATTGGCTGTGATAATGATGCTAGATGGATCACCGGTTGTAGGATGCCTAGTAAACATGACACCAGCCGTTTCCGCGTCGATCATTTTCTGAATGCAAACACCCATAGATACTTTTATAGGTAGTCCATTCTGCCGTCTGTATGTGCAATCGCAATCATCAAATAAGTACATTGCTCTCCTCCCTTTCTCTCTTTCTCTGAGCAAGGTAGAAAGATAAATTACCTATACTCGACGCTTTGATATGAGAATAGGCTTGCCCAGCATTTAGCAACGCATTTGATGACGTCATTCGCGTTCTTCACGCCTAAATACGTCGAGTTTTGACCAGCGGCCGAAGTTTCCTCACTGTCCTCTCCAACAGCGCTTGACCTTACAGCATACAAGTTGCGTACATCTTTTTCATTTACAAACATTTCTAATTTCTCCAAACCCTCCAATATCGCTTGCTTAATTTGTTCCTCGACAGGAATAGTTTGAATAATGGACACAGTTCTGAGAAACAAAAAAGATTTAATTATAGCTGCAATATACTTTTAAAAACAGAAATATTAGATGCATACTTTTGACAATAAGTTTTGAGATCCTCCTTCTTTTTGCCACGACTGATGTCTATTATATCATTGATCAAATCTTGCAATTGTTTATGATACTGCAATTGTCGCTCCAGAGCAAGACTCGTTACACAGAAGCCTTGGGGTACTATAAACTACAAAAAAAAAGAAAAATTCACATTTTTATTGTGATGAATTTTCTATTTCTTACAGATGCATTATAAATATGTACATCATCGGTGACAATAGATGTCAGGACTGCAAGAGAATATGCTTTTCCTCCGACAATGTTCTCATTTTGACATTGTTTATCAGCAAAATGTAGAATGTATCTGTCCTTTTGTGCAGATGTATCAGGTTGTGTCAAGTATTGAACTCTGGTAACTGGAATCTTGATTTGCTTCGATCCAGTATATGGACAGCACATAGTCATCAGTCCAACACCTATACATTCGTACAATTTCTTATAAAATATAGATTTAAGATTGTTCTTTTGGGAAGTGCAAGTCTCTAAATTTTTGACATAGTTGCAGGATTTTCGAATCATTACATTTACGTTTTGAATCATACCTCTGCTGCCGTTAAGTTGTACATGCAGATTACGAGTTGTACACGCCCAATAATAGGACTGGTCATTGTAATAGGTAATTGTATCGGCTATTGTGTAGTTGATAATGACGTCGTAATTTTTTCCAGCCGCTAAAACAGTCGCGTAAATATTAATAATATCGCATTACATCACAAGATATAAAAAAATATATAATTATATATAAATATATTTTCTATAAGAGTTATCGTCTGCGTGCAAGGCGTTAACTGATAAATTAGTACAGTTTCAAGCCAATGTGGTATATGTGCGTGTGTGTGTATGTGGAGCAATATGCTGGCGAAATTTAAGTTTAGTTTCAATTAAGAACTTTTATAGCATAAGTTTTCTTTTTGTTCCGTTTTTTTTTTTGTAAGAAGAAACGATTGTTCAATTGTAACTCTTAGTTACAATAAATAAATCGAATAAATGAAGCATATCTCATATCATATCATATATAAATATATATAATTCATTCATATATAAATATACAGAGTGTATAAGAAGTCCCATAGCTCTTAAATATCTTGA